GAGACAGGTCAATGGTAAGTGACAGTTTTACACAAAAACATAGCATATAGTTTCTAATTATGACATTAAAAACACATTTACCCCATTGATAAAAGTCAAGAGGAAAATTAGAAACAATGCAGTAGTTGACCTAACCCTCTCTGAGTTGCTCAACTCCTTTAAACCTGCAAATTTTTTCTTGGTAAATATTAAGTCTCTCCACATATGTACATTTAAGACACACTTAAAATGAGTTCCTGAGAACATGGATGCTCAAGAGGAATAAGCAGGAGAGGATGATGAAAACCTTAATTTGCATTTTGCTGCCTTAAGTGCCTGAAATATCTTGGGTATAATGTTGCATGAATGAGGCTTTCAGTGTGTAATGCAAAATGACTTAAACATTCTCTTGTTGCTAAAGTATCTAAGGCATTTGCTATTAATGGCTGTTATTTTTCATTTTTATCTACCATATTTACAATGGAAGAAACAGACACATTGAGCCTGTCATTGGTATGCTCAACTCTTTTCTATTACCTGGCAATAAATTTCCCTCCTCTTCCACCTATAACAGTCCTCTTGGAAAGGAGCATTGGGTGGTCCACCCTAACCACAGCGCTTTGCATACTGTGGGACCTCTGACTTGTCCACCTATTTCTCACTGTCTTTTGATCTTTCCGTCAGTCTGCTGAACAAGATAATACTCCTGTAGTCGTCAGAGTTGCTGAAACTGTGGTACTGTTACCACTACGTCTTCCTTGCAGCTAGAAACAGTAAAGTCTCATAGCAACACTGTAATTGGAGTCTAAGACTTCAAACAGGAAATCATAGCTTTGGAATACTTTGAAGTTAATCAAATCACTGTGATAAACCTACGCAGCTGGTCTGCCAAGGCCTTCTAGGACTACAGTGGAGGATGCAAACTCATCCTGGTCCTAGCTGTGAGTCAGCACCAGGCGCTGTCCATGGTATTTTAATACCCCACACACAGCAAAGATCCCAGGATTGACTGGAGCTTCCTGGAGAATGGCAAATGGGTTTCCTAGGTATTAAGACTAACTCATTTCTTCCAGAGAGATTTAAGCATGATCAGAGAGGTTGATCTAGGAGAACACTGGGGCATGAAGGCCCCAATTCCAAAGACACGGTTTCCTATCATTTCCCCAACTAGCTACCCTTTCTCCTCTACCGCCACTGGAGACAAGAACTTCACCAGCACCTGAGAATGGTGGCTGCATGGAGTAGGCACTCATTTCCAGTGCACTTTAATCTACATAACGGAGTTTTACTGTGAAAAGAGTGGTCAAACATTGATCCAATCAATGTTTAAATCATTTTAAAAAATTATTACAGTAAGAGACACATTATCATGAATCCTTCTTCAAACATGCTTATCCCACTATTTTTGACACTTTCAAAAGCAGATGTGAGAGCCTTCCTACATAGGTATCTTTTCAAGGTATGATAAAAAAAAATACAGTAAATGTCGCAACCTGGTGTCATCTAACAGGAAGGCAGGCTCATTAACATTATAGTGTGGCTTCATTCATTTTGTTCACTGGATCTCCTCAGAGCATCTTCTGGATCTTCCCCAAAGTCAAAATGACCATGAAAGGTAAACATTTTGAAATGATTTTAGACATCAAAGCAGCCAATACAGCACAACTAAAGACACTCCTGAAATAAGACTTCCAGAGCTGCTTCCAAAAGTGGCAAAGAATGATGAGATAACAAAGAGAGGGAAGTATTTCAAAGGAGATTCATGGCAATGTGTCTTTTACTGTGATAAATTTTAATTTAAATATTCACCACATTTTTATGACACCTATGTGTGGCATCAGAAAGAGAAGACAGGTCTTCTGTTTTCCAGGGCAAAATACATTTGCCACATTGGTAGCACATTCAGAATTCCCACCCCTGCACCATTGCTTCCAACTACAGAGGGAATTTGGCATGGTACAAAAGCAGGAATATAGCTGCAAACGTGCAGTCACCATTGCACAGATAGCCAAAGTAAAGGGTGGGGGAGAGGGGTGGATCAAAATCATCTTTCACTTCCCTTCTAGAAGGTTGTGATGGACTGACAGGACACAGCTCATGAATTCTGCTAACATCTCACAACACTCCTGCTTCCTCACTCTCTCCACTTACCACAGCTTATGAGTTTCATCCATCCTGTTTGTTTTTCTTGTCCTTCCTGGCAGAATTGAATATTCTCAAATCCTTCAGCAAACACACATTATAAACAGAAAAATGGCAGCAGTGTGGGTAAAAGATAAAAGACAGAGGAAATCAGAACAGAGAGTGGCTGACTCATGATAGTGGTAGAGTTTCGAACAGAAAACTATGGGTGCCAGTTACCAAGAGGCGACAAAGTACCAGGCTTTGGAACTCCAGGGTCCTCTGAGATTCAGTGTGAGGTTCCTTTTGGTGAGTTTGTTTCAGTTCCTTTGAAGGATAAATCATACTGAATGCAAGTGTCTTGAAGCCATCCTGACCACTACTCTGGTCTCTACCAAGATGGAAACCACACATGGGATAAGAATAGGATGGAAATCTTGGATTTGGCATTTGGGAGGAGGAAAAAATTAAAGAAAGAGAACCAGAGAAAGCCAGAGAGCCATGGAAAATGCACATGGTATCCTACGGTGCTGGTTGTGTTTGAATTCATTTTTTGTCAACTTGTTTTATGTTAAAAGTAAATCAACTTGGTGAAAGGTTTATATCTTATCCCTCTGAATAAAAGCTACAAGCAAATTATTCATTTCAGATCATGCATTAGTTTCCTATTGCACCCTAAACATGTAATGGTTAGAAACAACAGAAATATATCCTCACAGAGTCCCCAGGGTTGGGAATCCAAGCTCAAGACAGTAACAACATTGACTCCTCCCCAGGGGTAAAGGAAAACCTGATCTGTGTGTGGCTTTCATCTGGTTCCTGTTGCTGATGGCCATCCTTGGCACTTGGCTGCCTCCTTTATCAAATGGATTTCCCGCTGTGTTTTTGTTTCTGTGTCTCTTCTTTCTCTTATTGTAAAGACCAGTCACTGGGTTAGGGATGCAAGCTGGTCTAGGGTGACCTCATCCTAACTAAATACATGTGCAACAGACCTGTCTCCAAGTAAGATCACACTCTGATGTACCATGGTTAGCACTTCAACATATCTTTTTGGAGGGACAAAATTCAATTCTTTAGCAGTCCGAAATTATGAAATATTATAATTTTGAATTCTCATTCTCTGAGACTCTGATAGAAAGACTACTTGAGCTTTCTCCAAGTGTAAAGACCGAGGGTAGATTTTATCTGTACAGGATATTGTAACACTTGCTGATAGTGACCATCCCCAACAGTCACATCATGGGGGGAGGTGACAAGGGACCTCTATTTCCCCATTGAAAATTACTATGATGTTTGAATTTTTACAACAGATGTACTATTTTTAATCAGAAAGAACATTTCAATCCTGTTTTGAAATTTACTATTTTTTCTCTTTAAAATAAATGGGAAAGAAAGAAAGAGAGAGAGAGAGAGAAAGAAAAAAAGAAAAAAAATTTAGACAGACTTTCAAGGCCCTAATGAAAGATATATGTAACATGGCTTTTCTTTCTCCCCAGTATCAGATTTTCTGATTTACAGTGGAGGAAGAGACAAGGGAGCAGTGTTTAGTTTATTTCAAACTTTGAAACAGGATTAAAGAGGGTGTGAGGTTTTCATGTTCATCTAGAGGATGTTTTAGTTTCTAATGTGGAAAAGCACAGAGGCTTCCTGGATCCATTCAACAAGGTTTCCTTTCAACTCAGGAAAAAAGAAAATGCTGAACATTAAGGTTTTTAACCAAAGTAGGATTCCCAGTTAAAATTCTGGACACCCAATTAAACTGGAATTTTCATATCATCAACAAATAAAAATTTTAGTATACCTATGTGTGAAATGTATAAATGCTAAAACTTATTTCCTGTTTTCCTGAAATCCAAATTTAACTAAACCTCCTAAACTTTTATTTGCTGAACCTGGCAGTCCTGTCCAAAACACACCAACCTAGGCAAGCTGTCTCTAGAAATTAGACCACAAGGGACTTGTCCCCAAAAGCCACATATAAAAGAAACAGGAAGAGGTCATAGTTGACCATATTTTTCTTCTGTGATTTTGCACCAGTCATGGAAATGTGGTTTAACTGAATTCCATTGTTGCTAACATCTCCCAAAGGCTCCCACCTCCAAACACCATAGTAGATTAAGTTTCTGACCTCTTAAGACCTCACGAGGAAGAACAAACTTTAGTGTAAGTTGCAGGGGGCTGAATCATACTCAGACCATCATGAGGTCTGTGAACCTCCTGCAATCACAGGCCGTTCTGAGTATACATGGGTATTGGTTGGGGAAAGGAACCATAATTAGATTCTCAAAATGTTTGCAACCTCCCAGAAGGCCAGGGGCACCACCTTATGGATGAAAGGCATAGATCTGAACTCTGCGAAGGCATTTTTGTGGAGGCTTGGGTATTATATTTCAGCGTAATTACTTTTCAGGCAATCACCTTTCTGATGATCTAAAGTGAAAAATGGAGAAAGTCTCTGAAAGTTTAAGAGTGGAAGTGAAGCAGTGCTTGCAGATGTGTGAGCCATCACATACTCCACCTGCTTTCCAGGAGCAGAATGGGGTTCATGGGTGGTGACAAATGTTGTGAATTCTCTGGGGAAGGTTAAAGTTGAGCCATGTGCTTTCAACAACAAAGTCTCTTAAAGAAAGAGGGACAGAGCTGGGTATGATGGCTCAGTCTGTAATCTCAGCATTCTGGGAAATTGACGCAGGAGGATTACATATTCCAGCCCAGCATGAACTACTTAGTGACTTGGTTAGACAATGTCTCAAAATAAAAAGGGTGACAGCCCTGGGTTCAATCTCCGGACCACTAAGAGAGAGAAAAGAGAGTCAGAGAGCAATGTTTTAGCCATGGACTCTTACTCTCTATAGAAAATGAATGACCGCTTTGATTATGACTCTATATTTTTCCTCTAGTCCTCCTTCTTCGATTTGCCAACGGCTCTTACCGACGAGTTCAACTGGCCCCAGCTCTCCGGTGCTACGGGATTTATGGACTCCACCAGTGGGTAAGTGTGCACACTCTCAGATACTTCTATGTGTCTGTTTGGCAGCAAATAGGACATGGAGCTTCTTGCAAGCTGTTATGAATTGTTCTAGAACTTGAGTGACACACAGCAGGATGGGCCACTGCCATGGGGTCCCTCCTCCATGGAGTGTGACTCCAGGCAGCTTTTATTTTATCAGTGTTGATAAAAAGACAAAGTTCCCATGGCTGCAAGGGGAGGGGTTCTGTTCACATGAAAAACATTCACAGTTTCGGATTCTAGGGACAAGGAGGAAATTTATTTGATTTTTTTACTCTCAGAAAAATGAATATTGGCTGGGGATATAACTCAGTGGCACAAATGCCTTAAGTTTGGTTCCTGGTACCCACCCCCCACCAAAAAGAAAAGAAAATGAATATTTACGAAGGTCATGGCTCTGGTTAACTGGCAAGTTGCAGGGTCCTGGAGTCACCTGGCTTTAAAGCTCTAGTCTATAAAGCGAGGATGCACCATGGGGAGTCAGTCTCCTGTTGGACCCCAGGTTCTGCATCTCAGGGGCCCACACTTGGGTGCTGGTGAGACTTCCAAGTGTCCCTGTGAGTGGAAAGCCAAAGGCACCAGAAGGAACACCTCTCTCGGCATCCTCTAAACAGTTAAAAGCTAATAAACATAAGCAATATGGCAGACAACTGCTTCCCAGTGTCAAAAAGAAGAAGGGCAGAGCTTTGCTTTAAAGTCTAGCAGCAGGACAGAAGCAGCACTCTCTGACTCGGCAGAAGCACCAGAAAGCCAGAAAGCGCCAGATGAGCCATGGAAATCATGAGATGCACAAGTGGGCAAGGGGCCTGACTTATCCAGATCTGTAAGAGCCAGAACACCCAAGGGGCAGCCCAAGGGACAGGCGTCTACAGCCACTACAACACACAATGGTCCTGTTTAACAAAGGACATTGCTGCCATGAAAAATTTATTTGATTATTATCTTTATTCACTCACTTTACTTATTAAATCCTTATCACCTAGGGAATCAGGCACAGAGTTATCAGGGTTTCCAAAGTGGATAAGGCTTATCCTGTTAATGTATTCCATTACAATAAGTACAGCAGCCCAGACAGATGTTCCAACAATGATAACCCAAGGTCAGTGTGCGGAAGAGGTCTCTTAGGAAGCCACGGGGTTTGGGGGACAGGCGCACGCAGTGAAATGATCAATAGCTACCTCCTTTGGGACTATAAGCTAAGAGGTCCAAACTCCAAGCACTAATAGATTTGAGTGATGAAAAGAACAGAAGAGTTATGCTTGTGACGGATACATATAAGCCCAGCACTGGGGAGGCTGAGGAAGGATCTCTGCGAATTTGAAGCTCTGTAGTGAGTTCAAGGCCAATCTAAACTGCATGGCAAGACCTTGTCTCAATAAAAAGAAAAAAGAATAGAGAAGAAACCAGGAAATACAACTAATATTCAGGACAACCTACTCATGAATCTATAGCAATTATTTGTGCATATAATGAGGAAAGCGGAGGAGATATGTTTTCATGTTTACGTCACATTTTCAAGCTTAACTACATTTTTCAAAAAGTGTGAAAGACTAATGATATCAATAACAGACATAGTAAGAAGTAGCCTTTGTGCCAAGCAAGGTGTAACCATGTGACAACCATTGTTTGGAATACTATATAGAGATTATTTCACTCCATCTCTTTGTAAGGTTGGTGGTAGTGTTTTCTGCATTTTACAATTGAGGAATCTGGTGTCTAAGTAGACTGATCAGGAAATGTGCCCAAGGTCACACAACTAGTAATAAGTGGCAGGACTCACTCTCATGGAACTTGGTGTCATTGTAACAAGGAAAGTGACTTAGTGGAACTAGCTCTCTCCCACAACCCCTACCTTTATGCACTGTTTGTGTCCTGTGTGCAGGAGTGACCCTCCCTCTGACAAGTGTCCCTTTGTTTGAGCTCACAACATAGGATGAGAATGACTAAGGACCCAAGTAGCTATGATCTATAAAACTATCTAGAAGTTTCTCTCAATCAAGGCTTTGGTGACAATAACAGAAAGAATCAATTGTGAACAAGAGGAATCTTTTAATGGAAGCTTAAAGTTACATGAGTCCTACAGATCTCAGCCACCTTTTGCTATAAAGGAAATGCCACTCAGATATTTATTAATTGCTGACTTCTTTGCATCTTCCCTGGAGTCTTCAAAAAATGCAAAAGGAGTCATGCCCAGCAGATCTGGTGGAAATTTTTGCTTTTTCTCTTGTCAGACACAATTTGCAACCCACAAACACACAGAATTTTCTCTCTCTTAAATCTAGTTTTCCCCAAAACTCTACCTCAACTTAGCTCCTACCTCCAGTTAGAATCTTTTCAGTGGCTTGAATCTGTATTGGGGTGCAGGAAGCACGTTCTATTCCCCTTTTCCCCCCACACCTGCTCTGTCTTCACACCAAGATTTGTGCCCTCGCTGGTAGAGAACCCCTCAAGCTCTCCATCCACACAGCATTTGCCACTCATGACCCTCACTGGAGCCCAGCAGGCTCCCCTCTGCCTGGAGGTCGAGTGTCGAGGTGCCAGTATCTCATGTGATCCACTGGCTGTTACCGCACAGGGTAGAGGGCATCCTGAGACTAGACAGAGGCTCCCTAGTAGCTCAAATTTCTCTTCCTCCTCTTATAAAAGCCAGTGATCTCCTACCCCCTACCCTTAAGACCTCACCTAATGTTAACCACCTCCCAAAAGCCTCATCAACATACAAACAGGGCATCCCCTTTCCAACTCATGATCTTTTGGAGGGGAACATTCATAACATTTTAGGAAAAAATTGCCATAGAGTGGGCTTAGGTGAAAATCCTCTGTGTTGTTGGGTTAGCACCTTTTTGTGTCAATCTCTACATTACTGTTTACAAAAACAAAAACCTCAGTCTGTTCATCCAGTTGTTCACATGGACTCTAGGTATTACACTATCTGCTGTATTGGGAACATCCTGTGGAACAGATCACAGCTGGCTGTTCAGGTACCTGAAACCCTTCTCTGTGTTTGTGAGTCCCACGCTATCTTCTTGCTTGCAGTTCTTGTGTCCCTGAGTCTGTATTCTCTGCTACTTGGCTGAAATGGAAAAAACCACATCCAACTCTTCTCAGTATAAAAGAAAATTATTTGGACCTCAATGGCAATGGAAGCCCCTGTTAGGCAGAAACATAAACAGCTGATATTTCCTATGCATCAACATTCAGGATGTGACTCAAGGTAGTCATTACTGTTAAACCATCTCACATCCCATTGTGTGGATGCTACCTGCAGAGATTCTATGATAGAATGTGGAATAAAAATTATCGGGTACACAAAAACATCAGAGAGAGACTAGCATATATAAAGATTCTCTACTGGTAGGATAAGGAAAATGAAAAGATCAGCACTATGAAACAGCACTCTGGAGCACAGATGCTGCCCAAGATGGGACTGAATGGACAGATTTCTCTATTCACCTGGATCTGTAGAAGTACAGAAGTACATTCCTGTTTCCTGTGATCAGCCTCACCATTTATGTATGAATGAGGTTCTTTGGATGACACATCTCAAGAGAGCATGAAGATGTCATTTAGAAGAGAAGATGGTCTCTTTCCTCTCCTTCTCTGTCTTTATGACACACACACTCAAAATGTAATATCTTCTTCTCAAGATGAAAATAATTGTAACTAAAATTAGGTCCAGGTATTAAAAAAATATATATGACCCCTTGGTTTTAAAAACCTATAGCTCCTTCAGTTAAGCAGACATTATCAAAATCTCTCCGGCTTCAGAGAGTCCAACAATGACATTCCTTAAAACATGTTGTTTTGTTTTTTCCAATAAGATTGACAAAGAAAGTGAGTAGAACAAAAGCAGGAGGTAAAATTTCCATATGGATGGGGAGCTTAACAATAGAGAAGAAAACTAACTGCAGATGGGAAAGAAAAAGTATATTTTAAAGATTTAAAATAATACTTGAAGTTCAGATCACTTTCAAAAGCAATTCATGTGACAGGAAAATCCACTGAAGTTAAAGTAACTGAGGCCCAGTAACATCGATGGAAAGATGCAAACATACTGAAATTCAACACGAAGAGAGGGGCTTCTCATCCAAAGGTGCATCTAAAACTCCAGAGCCCTTACAACGAACTGGCGGCCTGTACTTCCATTTCAAGGACTCTGTGTTATCCCCCAGGTGGGACACTTGATAGCCCTTGATCTCATTTATATGATGAAGTTGAGTTGGACCAAGTGACTGCTGAAGTTTTCTCCAATGTTCAGGTTTAATAGATATAGGTGTTACTGGATAGAGGTCCCATGGGGTTTCTTCCCGGTTCTCCGTGTTTTAAATAAAGAATTGGACTAAACACAAAAAGAGCAGCAAAAGTATACATTTAATGAGGCAGGATAGAAATATGCATTATGGAGCAAAAAGGAGTCAGTGAATGTCACAACAACCCCCAGGATAAAGGAATGGAATATTTTGTACCTACAATTCCTGGGTTATCTCTTTCATGCAAATAAGGTGTTAGGAAAATCATTCTGTCACTTGGCATTATACCATTCTGTCCTATCAAAAAACTTGCTTGGTTTCCTATCACATGTAAACAAAGAAGCATAAATCGTGTGTTTTTAATGGTTGGGCCCATATAAAAATGAAAGATCAAAAAGAGCATCTTCTGATTGGCTGTTATGGTTTGTGTCTGGATGTTCCCCCAAAGCCCCATGCAGTCATGGGAGGCAGGCCTTTCAAAGACAGCTGAATCTAGCATTGGTGATTGGTTCATTGTCTAGCACTGGGATTGACAGTGTGAGTGCTGCAGCCTTCCAGGGACAGGTAGCCTGCATACAATATAAGGAGGGAAAGAGGCATGCCCTCCCCTTGTGCCCTTTTGCTCTTGCTACCTTGGGTGTTTGCCACAGCCACCATGAACAGTTGCTCCTCAGCCACACCACCCTACCTTGGAGCCAGCTGAGTGTGGACTGAAACTTCCACAAACTGTGA